CTGAAAGGAGATGGGCAAGTAGGCTCTTCATTGATCTCATGAAGGCTAGATAAATATGGGTGATTCAGTGCTTCCTCAACTTTACATGCATCAAGAAATGAGGGTTATTCATCAGAAAGATGAGACAACCATACAGACTGTGATTGTTCACAAGTGACACACTTATACGTACCAGTAATGCGTTTGGATGGATCAAAAACCAACATCTTCTCTGCAAGATCAATTGCAACAGGAGACACGTCTGGGAACTTCCTAGCAAAGGGTTGCTTTGGTAACCGTGGAAGCTCCTTGACATACTTCCTAGCATTGTCACTTCTTAGGAATCCAAGATCTGAGTCATCAGGTGATCCTAGTAGCTGTTTTGAAAAACAATCAAGAACTATATTATCATTCTATATCCACTTCCCACTAAACGTGCAACTTGTGTCATCCATTTCTTCTAACAGTGCCTAATGCAAAACTACAACTGCTAAAATGGCAACAAACCATTGTACCTCAGTGATAAGGGCCAACTGCTGAACATAGTCTTTACCAGGGAAAAGCGGCTCCCTTCTAATTATCTCCATGAGAATGCAACCAACTGACCAGATATCAATGGCAGCAGTATACTCTGAGCAGTTGAGCAGCAACTCAGGAGCCCTATACCAACGAGTGACAACATATTCCGTCATGAAGTCAGTCTCAGAGGTGGTCCTTGCAAGCCCAAAGTCACAAATTTTAAGATCACAGTTTGCATTGAGAAGCAGATTGCTCGGCTTTAGATCTCGGTGCAAAACATTAGCTGAGTGTATGTACTTCAGTCCCCTCAACAGTTGATAGAGGAAATACTAGCAATGAAATTAAAAACACTACTTCAAAAACTGTTCCATCATGGCATGATAATCATGATTCCAAGTAATATAAAACTTCTAATTTAAGACTCAAATTTACCAACAAACGTTGATACAACCTACATATATTACATGTATGGTACTAACCACAGCTACAGGCATACCAGAGAAAATAAGAACCAACCTGACAATGATCATCAGTCAGAGGCTGGCTAGACCGTATTATCTGATGCATATCGGTATCCATCAGTTCATATGCAATATAGACATCATTGAACCCTTCCCTTTCTGGAGGTGGTATGATGTCCTTGATCTTGACAATCTGCACAAATTCAGCACCAGATTTGATATCTACTTCACAGAACAACATGACAACAAGGCATAAAATCAAACATACCAACACAGAATGATTGATATTTGGTACTCACATTGTCATGATCCATGTGACGGAGGAGTTTGATCTCCCTGAGTGTCCTCTTAGCATCAATCCTGTTATCAAATGCATTCCCAATCTTCTTTATTGCAACCTCTTCCTTCGTCTCAGAGTTTTTGGCACAACTACAATACCCATTAACAGTAATTCTCAAACAATTGACTCAAAGAAATCTCCATCACTATAGCTAATCAATGAAATTAACAAAAACGGGACTAGATTTCCTAGCAGCAAAAACCCAAATCACTAATTAAAAGAAAAAAAATTCAATCAAATCCCAAGATTTACACATGTAAAGGAAGCAGGACAGTACCAGACGATGCCGTATGCGCCGCGACCAACGGGCTGAATAGGAGGAACGTACTTGGAGGACACCTCAAAGATGTTACCCAGGATGTTATACCTTACATATCTCCCCCCATAGGTGGGGGTTCCTCCTCCGGTTCCAACTGCCACTCCCGCACTCTCCATCTTCAATTCTCCTAAAAAAAACCCGTACAAAGGCAAAAAAGAGAAGCGATCAAGAGGGTTCCTTTATGGAGAGAAAAGCAAGACAAAGCAAAGGGGAAGAGGGAGATGGGTCTGGGGCCTTCTGGGTACCATCTGGGTTCCCCTTCGATAAGGTGGGCAGCTTGTTTTATTTTTGGTGTAAAAAGGTCAGATTTTTCTGAGGGTTTGAGGTTTGAATTTTGAAGTGTGAATTCCAAAAGCGGTGTTTTTCGTGACTTTGTTGAAGGGTCAAAAGCTCGTGCTGGATCTGAGACTGGGGATTAACCTTACTACTAAAGACTTGCGCTTTCTTTTCCCTCGTCTTCGTCTTCGTCTTCTTCGAACCGACGAATTCTAGTCTCCGGATGAGGAAGATTTCTCTGCGGTGGAGATTAATTTTGACTGGATACAATCGAGTGGTTGATAGCATCAGTCAGCGTCGGTAAACCTTTACTGTTCTTACCCACTCGTCAAAAGGTTTAGCATGGACCCTGCTCTGCGCCATGATAATACGCATAAATTGAAATATGATCCAAATTTTTTACCAATTGACTTGTTAGTTTTGGGTGGAAGAATTTTTGTTTCTGTAATTAACTTTTGAAATTTGATTTAATTTAATTTGATTTTAAATTAATCAAGATTTAGTTTGATTTTTAAATATTGAGAAGTTTGTATGAAAATAATTTAATGAGAATTTTTTATTACAAGTAAAAAAAATTTTAAAGTTGAGTTTTATATATACAAATAAAATAAATTAAAAATGAAAGAGAGTTATTTTTAATTCTACAACTTATAAGATTAAAAAAAAGGTTTAATCCTAATCTTCATAAAATAAAATAGGCTTAATTTAATAAATAATCTAGTAATTTTTGTATTTTTTTTTGTTTCATTTATTATTTTTTAGATATTTCTAAATCCATTTATTATCTTTTACTTTTATTTTAATTTATTTTAATATGTTAACTTTCTAATAGTAGTTTCACTATGTTTAGTCAAATTTATCTTCAATTATATCTTTTTTGAATTTTTACTCCTTAAAATTAATTTTATAAGAATGATAAGTTCCTTTTCATTGTTTGAAAAATTGTAACTTTCATCACATACTACTTAAGTTTTCTTTTTTAAAAATTCTCTTTTATAGTGAAAATCATAATTATTGACATATTTTAATAGTTTGCTTAGTCTGTCATAAACTGTTTTACTAATTGAGATTACTCTGTTTTAATTTTGATTTAACTTTCTTGTTAAAACTAATAAAAGTTTTATATAGTAGACTATTCTAAAATATTTTATAAAACTTATAAACTATTTAGAAAGAAAAAAAAATTTCTAAATTAAAATAAAATTAAAATAATAGTTAATAAACTAATTATTGAATTTAACCAAATAAAATAACAATAGAATAGTTGGAAGATTTCACTTTTGGGCTCAAAAACCTTGGGCCGTTACTCTTAAAACCACGTAGATCTGGTCCAGATCTCATAATGGAGTTCGACCCAAAAACTTCTATCGG